TCCCATTCCATTCGCATTCTTCACTCTGTTTCCACCTTTCTTTATCTGCTTCCATTGCTCATTTTGATCATGGCTTTCCCGGTTTCCATCAACAGTTTCCATTGTGTGCTAATCCTTGCACGTTTGATCTCGTTTCAGAGATCTTTCTTCCAACCAGTTGGACGGCAGCATCCTTGCTAGCATCAGCAAACTAGATTGTCTGATTACCTTGTGAGATTGGACACATATTTAGTCTGACAAACGTGATTGGATGTGAGGGTGTAGCTTGAATGTGAGAGGTAGGTGCATCTAACTCCTTTTGTTTCTACTATGATTCTCTATCGCCATGGTATTGTTTCTGATCGTACACCCTTATTGTTCATCGTTTCCTGTTTATACGTTCCCTATGTTGAGTTGCTGTTCAGCACCGGTCTGTTATTCCATCCAGGTCTTTTGTTTTTCTTTTTTTCTGCTTCAGACTTCTCAAGATCCCTGTCTTAGGCCCTTCTCTGCCCTTTCTCATCCCTACATCCTTCCCTTCGTCCCCGATTCCTTCTTCTTTATCTCTTTATAAGATATGCAGCCACGCTTACTCCGCACATTGAGTCTACTCATTGCTCTCCATCAAGTGTTTAATTAAGTGTTTTCATGTTCTTGTGCTTCATACAATTTTCTTGCATTCCAGTACCACCACCGTTTTTGTTTTGCTTTTGTTGTCGAAGCTTATACTACCACCCATTATCACCAATATCCATGTCTTTCACTCACATCCATATTTCTTTCTCAAAGCATACCATGTAGCTCATTGGTTATAATGCTTATTCTCACTGGCATTTCTCCAGAAATATATTACTTCTAAGCAGCCAGTTGATATGATAAATGTATGTAACTACAAAAGAACAATAAAACGTCTATGTTCTGCTGGATTTATTCACAAATCCCAGCTAAAGTTCTGACATCGGCTCTCTGTTCATCATACACAGTCCTCCCTTATTCCTCCCTCCCTTTCCATGTTTTCTTCCCCGTCTGCCTGTTTAACTGAAAGTCATGGCAGCTGCGTCACTTTTCCCACCCCCTTCAGTCTTTCTATTTGCAGGCGCAATGGTTATGACACTAGAAACCAATGTACTTCCTTTGTCTCATCCGTCTTTTGTCACTTTCCCGTGCATGTTTCATCAACAACACAGGGATTTAAGCAACAACAAGCTTTCCGGCTCAATCCCTTCCTCTATCAGCACCCTTACAGACCTGGAAAATATGTGAGTCCTGGTGTGTGTAGGGTAAATCTATCTCAATTGAAACTGATGAACTCTGATGACTTTGTAAGGCCCAGCACACACCTTTTGCATGCCTCTCTTCCCCAAACCTTTTTGCGGCTCATCATCTTTGTAACGCCTAACATATGCACTTGGATGGTGTCCTACCATACCATACCATGGCTGTCTTAGAGCTGAGAGATTGTAAGAGCCATAAAGGCATCCATGAAATACACAGTGTACATTTTCTATGTGAGATTTTTTCAGGATATTCTGATTTCTGGGATTCTCCAGAAACTTTAAGACCTCATTCTGATTATGATTGACTGAGGCTTCTGCAACAAAAGTCTCAAAACTAGTGCTGGAAATGCAGTGCAAACCGGATGTTTACAGTGAAGTCAGCCCGTGCCCAAGTGCACACGCGTTGGGTCAAGCAAACTCGGGTTATCAACAAACATTTGGATTAGGGTTCGCTGCACATCTACCCCATTCTCATATTGGTTACCACCCTCTCCCCTGTGCCCCTGCTGCCTGTAGGAACTTGGCCAGTAATGAGCTGTCAGACTCCATCCCATCGCAATTCAGTTCCTTAACCTGGCTCACCTACCTGTAAGCCCTTCTAGAACGAGCAATAAGCTTTCTAGTCCTGACTACCAGTACCCAGTTTGTTCCTGTCTCGCCCTGATACACCTACGCAACCAATCCTGAATCAACCCTCTCGATTTATAAAACATCCTCATGTAGACTATATCCTTAGGTTGTTCTCCCTCATACTATATCCTACATATTATCCCTGTTTGTCCCATTTGTCTGCTCTCTCTGTGGCAGGGATATGAAGCTGAACCAGCTGACAGGGCCCATCCCAGAGAGCTTCTCTGCACTCACAGATCTCCAGGAGCTGTGAGTTGAATACTCATGCGTCCAGAAGCCCCATGCACCCAGAATGACACTGGCTGGGGGTGATTAGAAGGAGGAAGGAAGTATAGCATTGTTGCACAGATGCTTTGATGATGGTGGGTAGTTAAGAAATACAGGAACCAGCCAGCCTCTGTCAATACTCCATGAGGACGCATTCATGTCAGCGTTCAACCATGGGCACATCATTGGATGATGTACCATCGGAACATTGCTGTCATTCACGGTTGCTGTTATTCACGGTTGCTGTCATTCACGGTTGCTGTCATTCACGGTTGCTGTTATTCACGGTTGCTGTTATTCTCGGTTGCCGTTATTCACGGTGGCTGTTACTCACGGTCGCTGTTATTCATGGTTGATGTTATTCACGGTTGCTGTTATTCACGGTTGCTGTTATTTACGGTTGTTGTTATTCACGGTTGCTGTTATTCACGGTTGCTGTCATTCACGGTTTGCTGTCATTCACCATTGCTGTCATTCTGTATGTGCAGGTGGCTTGACAGCAACCAGCTCACTGAATCAATTCCGTCTGCGATTGGCAGCCTCCCTAACATTAGAAATTTGTGAGTGGTGATTGGTAGGTGTGTATTCTAAGGATATTTGAAACGCATAGTGACAAACCAGCACAAACATGAGCTGAGCCTTGTACTAGGCATAAGAAACAGAACAGAACCAGTCTCATTTCGGTTCGAGGCGGTACAGTTCAGCTCTCAAACCGGAACAAGGGGAATTCTATGGCCTCCTGATCTACAAATCTAACCTGCACTATTTTGGCTAAAACCAGTTCAGCCAGTTTGCTCTCTGAACCAGTTTGACCGAGCCATGTTGAACCTAACCGATCTGACGCTGCTCCTCGAGCCAAACCATGTGAGTGGTTGATGGGGTTGCTGCAGTTGAAAGAGGCACCCCGTACCGTGCCCCCCGATGGCCAGGGTCAGCAGCCCTGTGCTGGCATCCATCCAGGTAATCTGGGAGCAAGAGGAAAAGAGGGCAGACAGATAATGGAGGGCAGGCACAGTGGTATTGTGTGCCAACAGGAATCTACAAGGGACCCCATTCTACAGCTGGAAGGCTGGTATAACAAGAAGGCTGTTTGATATTTTCTGGGTGCTTGGGGACTACGCATAGGTGCGAACTAAAATGGTGTGACCTGTACCGAGATACCTCTCGTGTGCCGAGTGTGGTTACAAATAACCTGGTGGGTCCCCAGCTGGTCCGACCTGTACAAGGAGTTATTTGGTGCGACCCTGTGCTCCGTTCAACCGGTGGGTCCCCATCTTGGTTCTTAATCATGCGTGCCTAGCGTATACATACTAGAGCTTATGAATAGTACTTAGGCCATATCTTCTGTAGCAGGCACAAAGGAACACTGCAATAGAGAAATGGATACTGTTTGCAATCTACCAGCATTTGTTGTCACGGAATCCTGCCACCGTGGGCACAAGCACTTTCAAAAATTTACGAAGAGTAATGGAGAAAATTTGCACTTGTCACGCGATTTCACTCCACTTTCCTGTCTGATCTCCTTTGAAACAGTGCTATATCATTTCCTATCGTCTCCTCTTCTTTCTTCTCCTCCTATCTGCCCTCATCTCATCTGCTCTTTTCTCCACCACTCTTCCCCTTCCATCTCTCTTCCCTGTCCTCTCCCCACCTCTCCTCTTCCATGTGTACACACCCACGTGTTTGTCAAATGCCATTCATCCACAATGCCTCCACCATGCCTCCACCATGCCTCCACCATGCCTCCACCATGCCTCCACCATGCCTCCACCATGCCTTCACCATGCCTTAACCACCATGCTTTCACCATGCCTCCACCATGATGGCCTGCAGATCGCTGGCCAACAACAATCTTTTTGGACGCATACCAGACGCAGTCACGCTGCTCACAAATATCAAGACATAGTAAGACATGCTTGCTTGTTCACATACATGCGGCTGCACGCACTCATATGCAAACTTGTCTGATCAGAACTGACTCTCTAAACAAATGCTTCTTACTCAACAATCGTCTAGCTTGCTCTGAAGAATGGCTAACGCTATTCATCACTTCATCCCTGACCTGCAACCTACACAGCATCTTCGATTTCTCGTATCTAGCAACAACCACACATGGTGTCTGTCTCAACCTCTCCTTCAGGTGCTCTGAAATGACTAACGTGCTCTCTGCCACTGTCCTTCCACCCTGTCCTCCCACCCTTGCTCCACCCCTACAGCGACCTCTCTGACAACTATCTCACAGGCGGCCTTGTGAAGCCAGCTAACGTGCTGGCTGTGCTTTCATACAACTACCTCTCGGGCACTCTGCCTGCACAGTCGTCAGACTTGCTCGATTTCAACTGCTTCAAACTGGCTTCGGGAGAAACAGAGCCGGTGCAACGCACTTCGTCAGCATGCCGGGCGTTTTGCGGCATCTCAATGGGTTCTGCCTCTGGGGGTTGCAGCGGCCATGGGGTGTTGTGCTATCCCGACGGACCTAACTTGGTGCCTACGTGCGTGTGTGAAACGGGGTTCTACACATTTCGAAGGACCTACTGTCTTGCAGAAGGTAACTGCATTCATGGGTGAGTGGAGATAAGGCACGTCTATATGCTCTCAAACAGGGAATCTCCCTTCATAATCTCGTTGCCTGCAGTCAGCAAAGCATCCATTTTCAATTCCACTTCACTTCCCAATCTTCAATCAACTTCCCACACCCCCTAACATTGCCATTTCACCCTCTCTTCTTGTTTCGTTTCCATCCCTTTCTACATATTAACAGAATCGGTCCTTGCCTCTCCACTTGATAAGGCCATTCTCCAACCATCAACAGTGCTGACTACAGGAACAAAATTGGAGACCAAGGGAATGTTCACTTCTGATCCGGTGCCCCTCTTTGTGTACGAGAACGGGCGAGAGGACCCAGGCTGTGGGTTTGAGCTGGCCTTCAGTGTCAACTTCACCTTCGCCCTCTCGCCCAAAGCCAAGGCTGCTTCAAACGGCTTTGCCTTTGTTGTGTCCGCAACCAAGACTGTCGGGAGCAGTGTCGATGTGGGGTTTGGTGGGATGGACGAGCGAAGCATGGCGATTGAGTTTGACGTGCTCCAAAACAAGCCACATGGCGACATGAAAAACCAGCATGTGGGGCTGAATATCAATGGCCAGGAGAAATCAATCGCGGCTGTGAAGTCCCCATTCCCACTGGCCAACAAGAAGCCGTACACGGCATGGGTGGACTATGTGCCTGGAGACCCTGGCACCATCCGGGTGTTCCTTGCAACAACAGCAGTGAAGCCAGCAAAGCCGCAGCTAGACAGGCGGCTGTCGCTTTGTGCTGTGCTGAAGCCGGGACCACTGCAGGGTGAGGGCTTGCCAGAGCAGCCGCGGGCGTTCTACTTTGGCTTCATGGCGTCCACCACAGTGAAGCCGTTCATGATTCAAACCATCCTCAGCTCAGCCCTGCGCACAGGTGATTCATACCATCCTCCGCTCTCCTTTTACTGTGAAGAGAGATCGCGTGGGTGTAGCGTAACCTCAGCTCTGCCCTGCAGAGGTGGGACGTTGACAGCTCTGTTGACTGCATTGAACGTGCCCTCCATGGGCTTAACCTATGCACTGTCGCCATGGATGCCTCGGCTGGCATATTCATGCACTACCAATGCGGTTTTTATATACTCAAACCCTTCACTTCTGCCTTCCCTTCTTTTCTGAATTCACTGCTTCCCTTTTGACAGAGGCTCCTCCTGCGCGGGGTCCAGTCAACATCACTCCAGGCAAGTCATTGCACGCCTTTTGTTGACACACAGTTGATTTGCACCCGAACACATCATTGTACCAGTCGCCAATATGCATCTTTGATTGTGCTTCTTGAGCTGGCATGCCACCAGTCGCGTGATTTCGTTTGACTGCACATCCTTACTGCTCTGAACATTTCCCATCAGCCACTTCATTTCCTCTCCCCCTTCACCTTTTCTACCCACACTGCCGTCCCAATTCCACTGCCCTCACCCCCCCCAACTGCTCATCCCTATTCTCCCACTACAGCTTACGGTTTAGAGGTATCGCTCAATACATTCGTGCCTGCACGGGCGAGCCCCTTCCCACGCTATGTGAGTGCAGACTACCGAGTGTCGGCCGGGCAGAAGGACTCGTGGGTCTTCAGGGACCTCCACTCCTGGGACTCCGTGCCCTTCCTGGGCTGGCCCGTCAAGGACCAGAAAGATTGCAGTGAGGGCAAAGCGGGCAGGGGGGTGGGGGGGGGGGGGGGGGGGGGAGGGGGGGCAACTATATTTGAGGTAGGCGTGCTGTCGTGAGGAGTGCAGCATGATAACATTTCAACGTTTGTTTCTTGTTCACCAATTCTGACTCTTTTTCTCAAGTGCTCTTTTTAAACCCCAAATCTTACTGCTGTTCTTGCAGCTCTCCTTCGTGCCTTTTCTTGTTCACCAGCTTTGTACCCACTAAAAGGGGTCCTTGTGTACTCTTTCCACCTCTCCTTCAGACGCATGCTGGGCATTCGCAGTTGTGTCAAGCATAGAGGCAGCATACGGCATCGCAATGAGTCTAGAGGCCCCAGTGATCTCAATGGACTCGCTCTTCACAGCCATGAATCTCACCACCCAGGCAGCCAACTGCACTGCTGGAGGCTCTCCAACTAAAGCCTTTGAGAAGCTAACGGCGCTGCCTAAGGGGGCAATTACCATGGAAGGCAATAAGGTATGGAAGGGAGTATGTTCTGGAAGGCAATAAGGTATGGAAGGGAGTATATCCTGGAAGGCAATAAGTTATCAAAGACGATAAGGTGTGGAAGGGAGTAAGGTATGAAAGGCGATAAGGTATAGAAGGCGATAAGGTGTGGAAGGCGATAAGGTATGAAAGGCATTAAGGTGTGGAAGGCATTGAGGTGTGGAAGGCATTGAGGTGTGGAAGGCATTGAGGTGTGGAAGGCATTGAGGTGTGGAAGGCATTGAGGTGTGGAAGGCATTGAGGTGTGGAAGGCATTGAGGTGTGGAAGGCATTGAGGTGTGGAAGGCATTGAGGTGTGTCCAGAGAGATGATGATGATGCTTGGTCGGTGACGATTGTCACTCTTTGATAATACCATTGGGCTGATGATGAAACCAGGTTCGTGTTGATACTGATTTAACGATAAAATGCCATGGAAGCTGAGGGGTTGTGAGACGGAACGAAGGTGCGTGAATTAGTAAGGTTGTGGGAGACAGTGATGTTTTTTAATGCCATGCAAGCAATGATGATGGTGATGATAATACCAGGTACATAGAAAGAGTTCCATTGGTGAGCAGATAAAGCTGCTGATGTACATCTATAGAGCTATATTACCAGTTTGTCATTAGGGGATTGTCATCTATGCATGGTAAGAGTGAAAGTGGGTGCATGAATTACTCCCAAACCCTGGGTTGCTATAATGGCCATAAACACCGCCCATCTAAATCCAAAAATTGGATACACTCTCGTCACAGCCTTACACACTCTCTCCTTCTGCCCTATTGTCCGACCTTCGACTCTTGTCCCAATGTCCCAACCCTGAAAAAAAAACAATATTACAGAAAATCAAGTACCCTGTCCAAGGCTTTGAGCGCACTTCCTTCAAGGGGTATGTGGGGCTCATGCTGGCCGTGCAGCGGCAGCCAGTGGTGGTTCACGTTGAAGCTACTGTCGCTTCGTTCACCAAATATGATGGGGTGAGTGCTGCCTGAGAAGAATCACGTCAGATCTCTATTCTGTGGTATGGAAAGTTCTGTGTGAAATGAGAGTGTTTATTGTTTCCTGGTCATCACCAGAGTGCTTGGTATGCTTGGTGTGTGCTTGCATGCGTGCGTGTATGTGGGGAGGGGGAGGGTGTTGGTGTGGGTCTGTGTATGTGTGTGGGTGCGTGTGTGTGTGCATGCATGCGTCCAATTGTGTGGGTGTATGCTAGGCTACCATGTTACATTTGTGATGCTTATACACATTATACATTGAAGATTATGTGCACTGAGCCTTTTCATTGCCCTTGTGTCTGCAGACCTTTAAGTATCAGGATCTTGGCTGCTATACCGGAAACCTTAATCATGTTGTACTCGTTATTGGCTACCTCGTGTTGAGGAACGATGGGAGCGAGAACCGCATTGCACCGCCTTTTTGGATCATCCGCAACTCGTGGGGCGAGGCGTGGGGAGACAGGGGCCACATGCGCATGGACATCCAGGGAGGGGATGGCATGTGTGGCATCAACGTGCTGCCTGGCATCTACCCCATTGTCAAGAGTGAGGCATCTACACCATTGTCATTAGCTTGCCCACACACATGGCATCTGACCCCTTGTCAAGGCAGAGGCTTGTTCACATAGTCAGTAGCAACCTATCTGAATTACCACATGTACAGAAAGATAGCTATCTGGTCTATGTCTGTGGCAATATGGTGCTATTTGTTCTTTTTGTTTCTTTTCATCTTCATACCGGTAAATCCTTGATGCATATGCACATTCCCTGATGGACCTGTCCCACATTTTTGTCACGCTTGTGCCATGCATGCAGTTCCAGGGGACCCGCGTGGCTTGAAGAGCTACAAGGGCGATGGAGACCTGCAGCCCAGCATGAACCCATGCGGTCGCTTCACATGCACGCCCTTCCCCAAGACCAACAACAACACCTGTACCTGCACTCTTCCCGCTCAGACCAAGCAGCCCTTCATTGAGGCTGCAAATGGCTATGGAAACACCTGTGTCTATGGTGAGACATGCCTCAAATAACATATATTGTCCGCGAGCCAGATATGTTTTGTGTTGTTTTCTGTGAGCAAGACATATGTTTATGTTCACAACCAACAGGGCCCAAATAAACGTAAGACCAGCTAATATCAAGGGATGTGGTTTTAGGAAAGACGTGGTGAAGCATTCACGCACATCCCACTTCTTTTTCTGCATTCTGAACTGAAAGAAAAACCCTGCCTCCATCCCCTTCCACCTCTCTCTCCATCTCTCTCCTCCGCCTTTGTCAGTAAACGTGTGTGGGTCGTACTTCAAGAACCCTTGTGCTGTGGGCACATGCATCAATGATGGCAAGGGCTCCTACTCATGCATCTGTCCACTCAACTACGTCTCCAGCACAACCTTTGACAACTTCCCCACCTGCGATCCAGGTGCTGCTGCACTTTACCCCCACCTTCCTCCGTCTCCTTGTTTCTCCAATGGCTATACCCCTTCTACCTTTTCGTGAACAATACTCTCACTATCTAGCTAGTTTAGCTCAATGTCAACAGTTGACCTTTGACGCGCCCCTAGAAGCAATATAGCTTGATGAGTGCACGATAGAGTACGTAATCACACCCTACTCCCTCACCCTCATCTGTGCTTCGTCAATGCTGTTTTGTTCAGCAATTTTAGCCCAAACTCCTCCGCTCTCCCTCCGTCACTCTCTCCGTCTTCCAGCTAACACCAGCACCGTCAATATGGCTGTCAAAGGTGACAAATGGTGGTGCTCTGACATCTACCCTCTCTTGGGCCTCACCCTATCGCAGTTCACATCGCAGAATCCAGTAAGGAGAGACTAATGAGAATCGGGGAAAATCATGGCGTGCATGACAAGGGCATGGGGGGAAGGACAAGATAGGAACAACTCGCTTGCTGACTGACATGCTTCTATGCTCCAATTGTACACATGGCAAGCACAGGAGGGATTGGGAGGCGCAGGCATCAAATTAAGTGGCTTGCAGGAAGGGCACAAGGTTATGGGAGAGATAGGCTGCAAGTGGCTCACAAATCTCATGTGTGTGCTTCTTAGTGTCCTTCGATTGTGTGCCTCTTGATGCCCCCTATGTTTGTGCTATGCAGTCACTCGTGTGCACCAAAGCCTTGCCAAAAGGGAGAGTGCTTCGGATCATCAATACTCCTGCCATCCCCTGCACTGCCTACTTCTTCACTCTCAGTGTGAGTGCGGGAGGCCCTTTTGATGTCCCATGAAGCTTTTTCGTTGCAACAAGTCCTCCTACTCCTCGCTTCTTGCATCACCCTTCATCATCACTAATTATGATGTGTTTGCTTCCATGCTCCCTTCATCCTCCAGGGCGACACGTGCCTCTCCAATGCCACCTCTCTTCGCACCACTGTGACTGATCTCCTGAATCTCAACCCTGGCCTTGACTGCGTGCAAACCATTATGGCCGGCCGTTCTATCTGTGTGGAGCGCAATGAAACCTATGCCTACAGCGTCCCTGAGTGTATGAAATACACCATTCTTACAGCAGACGACACGCGTGAGAAAATGCTGCAGGGGCAAGGATTGCAGAACGATCCGTCTATCTGGGCTCTACCGCAACAATCCCGGTCTTCTCTGCTCCAACATCGTCCCCTCGTTTGCCTCAGCCGTTGGCAGCAACGCCGGCGTGCAGGTGAGGGGTGGAAGTGAATCAGGAACAGGTTTGGGCAGGAGAGACGTTAGATTGAGAGAATAATTGAACGGCTGTGGAGTTTTTTCGCCACACTGTTCACTTATGTTATGCGTTTCTGCACCCATAATGTATCACCCTTCTACTACCTGGCCTAGTTGCACTATTACCAACTAACTACTATCTTGTCCTCCATGCATATCCCCCTCTGCCCGATCCCCTCTTCCTTTCCTGCACTCCCAGGTGTGCCTGAAAGCGGAATATTGGCCGTTTGAGCTTGGCAGATGCAACAAGGGCCGGTCCAAGAGCGTGTCGCCATCGCTGACCTGTTCCGGTACTTACAGCTACTATGGCCGCACTCCGAGCCAAGCAGCTGCTGACTTTTCTCTCTACAACGGCAATGCCTGTGCCAAGAACGTTGGGTCAAAATTCATATGTGTGCCACGCTAGATAATTGTGTTGATTGTTTCTTCAAATTATGTCCATTTTGTGCTAGCGGGTGATGTTAGCCCACAATCGCAGTCATCCCAGTGTGCCTTCTACTGTCTAGAACTTGCTTTGTCTGATTCGTGCCAATGTACCATATTTTTCAAAATCTCTGAACCACAGGAATTTCTACAAGTCCTGTGGAAATTGCTAGAATGAATCTTAAAACAGCATGGGTTTAGTAATACTCCTGTGCGTACATCATGCTTTCTAACATGACGCCCCTTGTCTCATAAGTAGTTGGACTGACACGCCCATCATTTGCTGGTCTCTGCACGAACGGACGCTAAGAGGTTGTTGCTCATGTGACTCCAGGGCTTGGGGTGAGATAGGGTGAGAGAGGGGAGAGAAGAGAGAGAAGGAAAACTAAGTGGAAGCAAAGGGAGGGAGAGGAGGGGATAGATTGCACGGGAAGGAGAGACGGAATGAGAACAGACTGTGACTGGGAGAGCGAGGTTCAGGTTAGGGGGCAGAGGATGAAGGTATGACCCGAGCGACTTACAAGTTCCTTAGAAATTGCTTGAATTAGCATTATAGGGTATATTAATAACCATGTACATACTCTTTTCAAATAAGATGCCCATCGTCTCATAAGTAGCTGTGTAGGCCCATTATTTGCTTTGGCTGTCTTGTTGTGTCCATTTTGTGGTGGCAGTAAGTTCTTTAACCTGTCTCTCTGTCTCTCTCTCTCAAACAGTCCTCTGTATTGACGCCGTGGAGGAGAAAATCCATGCATGTTTTTAGGTGATAACAACCACAGCAATATTTGTAACCCTGTTATCCCTTAGCAACCCGCTACCTGTCCAACGTATGGTGTGCAAGATGTTCCCCACGTGCAGCGGCCATGGTTCCGCCTGCATCTGGAAGTGTGCCGCCTTAATCCCGGCCCAAGATTTGGTGTGCAAAGCGTTTGCCTGGGAGCGTTGGAGCATCACCTTCCAGCGCTGGCTGAAGTGGCCAGCCGTCTTCCTGGTGGATTTCGCCAGCGGGTTGGCCCTCGGTGATAGATCACTGCTGCTATTAGTTGCACACAGCTGCACAAGCGATAAAAAATCCCACTCAGCTTGAGTTCCTGGAAGCTCGCTGCATGAAGAAGGCAACAGATGGCACAGAACGCCGTTGTTGCTCCAGTTGCTGCGTCCCAAGGATGGTCGCTGTTGAGAAAACTTGTCGATCAATGCCTTCTCACCCTCACCAGTAGCAACTCTCCTCTGTTTTCTTCGTTGCCCTGCTAAATTTCATGTCCTTTAGAGTCTTGATGACGGTAGTAGGGTGAGGTCCAGCAAGGGTTCATGGAGGCTCACTGACCACAATGACAACGGTATTGTGGAACATGGGGTTTGGAGTGCCAAAAATGGGGTTTGGAGTGCCAAAAATGGGGTTTGGAGTGCCGAAAATAGGGTTGAGCAAAAAAACGAACACCTGTTCGGTTCGCCTCGAACACGTTCGAGGCGAACCGAACAGGTATTTTTTTTTGGCTTAAAATGTTCGCCGAACAGTGTTCGATGTTCGCCCGAACACGTTCGTGTTCGGGCCGCTGCTGCAATTTGCCCGCGACGAACACGAACAGAGTTCGAGGTTCGCCCGAACACGCCTTCACAGGCGAACGGCGAACACCATTTTTTGCTCAAAGTGTTCGCCGAACCGAACACTGTTCGGTTCGGCAAACGAAGGTGTTCGTGTAGGGGCGAACACGAACACGTTCGTGTTCGCCACTTGCTCATCCCTAGCCGAAAATGGGGTTTGGAGTGCCAAAAATGGGGTTTGGAGTGGCAAAAATGGGGTTTGGAGTGCCGAAAATGGGGTTTGGAGTGCCAAAAATGGGGTTTGCAGTGCTTTTTGCCAAAAAGCAGCGACCCCAACTTGTGATACATCAGTTCCGACGCGAGTTTTTCTAAGTGGCACTGGAAAGTAACTTTCCCGCCAATGCTGCCAGACTCATCTTTCGTGTAACTCTGATTGTGCGATACGCCATGCTTAGGGTGCATGTACTCGTTACAGTACTACCCAGTTCACACACCCTATGTAATCGTGTTGGTTCCCAGAATCTCACACGAAAGTTACACAACCAGTTTATGTTGTTGGTACTGGGACTGGTCTGAAACCGGACCAGCCTGGCCCCAGCCAGTGTCCAACCTAACCCCAGATTCTCACAAATAGGGTGTGTTAATTGAAGCTTAGGCAAAATAATAGGATAACACCATGGTAAGTATCACAACGAGATTTAGCCCACTCCACATTGCCATCGCCATCAGTGCCAGCATCCGCTCCTCATGCTGCCCCTTTGGTGCGGCATCGCTGGCAGCAGCCAGCTCATCAGCAGCAGCAGCAGCACGAGGACAGCCACAGCGCCAGCAGCAGCAATGCCAGCCATGGCTCCATTGGATTAACCGCCCTTTGCTGGAGGGAGAGGGTGCACTAGGAGTTGAAGTGGGAGGAGGTGGAGAGGGTGCTGGCAGTGGCGATGGGGAGGGTGCTGGCGCTGGCGATGGGGATGGTGGTGGCGCTGGTGATAGGGGGAGGGCATACGTATGGGGTAGGATGACGGAGATAGGGAAGGGAAAAGGAAATCAGACATGGAACTGACGGAGGGCCTGGTGAAAAGGGGATGAGGGATCAGAGAGGGGAAGTGAAGGAAGGTATTGAAAGGTTGAAACGGGTATGCTTCAATAAAAGCCACGAAGAGGAGGCATAGCAGAAGCGCAATAGTACACTGTGCATATTTGGAGCAGCTAGGCTGTGCATGCCTGACACTGGAAACCTTGTTAAGTAGGTGGAAATCAGTTTATCTCCACTCAGTACAATGAGAGCAAGTAGAATGGTAGCCACCTGCATAAGGAGCGTCTCACCTGGTCGTGGCTTGTCACATGTGGGGCAGAAGGCACGAGACTGCTGCCTGCAGAAAGCACTTGAAGGGATCTGTGGGACCACGCAGCTGCTGTAGCTAGGAGGGCATGTGATTGCAGTCCCATATATTTTCCTGCATGAGCACATGGAGCGTTCTCAAATTATGAAACTGAGGTTGCTGTTGGGGATGTATGGTAGCACATACTCTACAATGCCAAGATTCATTACAGGCTGAAAATACTGATAAATCATAAATTCGTATTTTGTTGGAGGTTTGGGCCGGGCTAGTACAAGTTAATTCCAACCCGGGGCTGCAATAAAACGTCAGTTGAGCTACGGTATACCACCATAATACCTTGGTACCTTGTATACCCCCTATTTGTGAAACACTTCAAGGTTGCTATGGTAGACATTGCAACACTAGAACACACTAAACTGCCTTACAAGTCTAGAAGATGAGTGAAATTGCCCATTGTTGGAGGGAGTTGGCCAGTGAGGT